TAAAACATTACAGAAAAATATCCACACCACTGGGGGGTAATAAGTTTTGAACGAGAAAACGAATACCTCGTTCGCATTAGTTCGTCTCATAACAACCAAGAATCCAAAAAATTCCATGCGAACAGCGGATCAGCAGTTAATGGAATAAGTGCTTTCTTTGAATTGTCGTCCTCTTTTATTTCTGAGAATAATAGTATGAAACGTTGAAAAGACTTAAGAACTTCACACCACTTGGAATCAGTACGTATGTAGCTGTCGTCCAACAAAAATGCCGCATAGTCGAGCGGTTCCGTTCCATAATGAATATTGCGCAATGCACAAAAAGGTATATAAGCAAGTCCCTCCAATGAAAAGATGGTCAAGATTTTTCTCCAACCAAATGATTTTGATTCATTGAACATTGAAATGAGATGGGCAGTTTTTTTCAAACATAAACTACCCAACACTTTTATTTGACTGTCATAACAACCTGATTCCACTGAATCAGCGTACGGGTAATACAGGTATAAATTTGTCCTGATCTTCAATAGCAGAGCCTTAAATAAGTTAAATCGAAATGTTTCAGCTGCATCCCCCGCCATGTCTAAGCAGTTCATTACTTGAAGACTTAATTGTGAGAGTAGAACGTTGTAATCCTCTAGCTTTTTAGTGAAGTTTTTGACAGAAGAAAGATGCTGGTCTTTCCACATTTGAAGACCTACTTTTAGTATTTGACCAAAGAGCTTTTGTGAATAGTACTCGTTCTCATCGCTTATGTCCTCTCTATTACGTGTGAAACTACCGTCCACCTCAAACTGGATCCACGGAGGGAAATTAAAGAAAATGGATGACATGGCATCGATTTGGGTTACGACAAACCATAGTTTGTTATATTTTTTCATCAAGTTAACATCATCTTCAATTTTTTGATGAGCGGTTATCGACCTTCCGTAATGAATAGCAGTACAAAGCTTTTTATTCATATCATGGGGTGAATTAAAGAGGAACGATAAATACGCTTGAACTGAAAGTGTTTCAAAAAATTAATATCAGCCAGATGACGCAAATTGGTCCGAAAATCATCAAGAGTATCAATTTTTTGCCTGAAACGTTCAGCCAAACCTGTAGCTGAATCACCCGTCTGCTCAAAGTACTCTAGTAACGAAGACGGGAGCTCTTCAACTTTAAGTGAGGCCCATAGTACTA